CCACCATGCACACAGAAACGTCCCGCATTCAGAGCACATCCATCTTCGTCACGCCTTCGTACCACGTACAAGTAAAACAGTTGGAAATAAGTACAATAATAATACCGATAGGTGTAACTTTTATTTTTGATAATGCCATACTAAATGTGTAAAAATTAAATGTCTATATCGTATGACGCAGTATATGAATGAATGATTTGAATTCGCGGCGTCGCTCCCAGTAGGTACCTGGCTGGTGCTAGTGGACTGCAGTGTGGCCCGCCAGCACGAGGCCCGGCCCGTTCGGCAGCAGTGTTGCAAACAGAGTCGAAAAGTCGCCACGAAACACACCAGTAGAGTGGGCTGCACCCGTGGCCGCCCGCCATAGGTGAACATCAGCGCGCTTGCAGTGCCTTGTCCCGCCGTGCTTACGGGTCGCGAGGAGTGATGTCTGCGCTGGGAACCCGAACACGCCCCAGTCTGTTTGGCCCTGCGACTCGGGGTCCTCTCGCTGCCACAGGGTGGCGGGGGCACGCCCGCTGCTCGCCGCCCCCTAGACCTCTTCATACTCCACATCGTCACACTCGCTGCACAGCAACTCGGCCCCGGGCAGCACCCGCCGCACCTCGGCGCGCTGCTCCCTGCAGGCGGCTGGCCCGTGGCTGCACCCCCAGTACCTCCACAGAACGAGCCTCCTGAGCGCCCGCAGCCCGCTCTGCTGCAGCAGCGAGTGCAGGTCACCGCAGCTGCCTGGCCACGCTTTACGCCCCGGCGTGCCCACCCCCAGCTCCAGCTCCTCCAGCGTGCCGCCGTGCGCCCGCAGCAGGGACTGTGTCGTGGCGCGGGGGAGGCACCGCACCCTGAGCAACTGCAGGCCGGCGTGTCCCGGCGGCAGCGCGGGCAGCTCGGGGGGCTGGGCGTACAGGGTGGCAAAATCATCCACGTCCAGCCTCCTCAGCCGCGGCATGGCGTGCACCGCGCGCAGGTGGGCCTCGCTGGGGCAGCGCACACTCAGCCGCTCCAGCGTGGGCGCGGCGCGCTGAAGCAGCTGGAGGCTCCAGGCGGGGTCCCTGCGGCACCACACATCATTGACCAGCCGGGTCACCTGCGGCAGAACAGAACAGACCTCTTAGGGCGGTCGGTAACGTGCGGAAATGTCTGCAGTGTACCGGGCCGCTCCCCGCAGCCTCGTGCGATACGTGAGGCTCGAGGCTCGGCGAACACTCACCCCCAGCGCGTCCCGCAGCAAGATGGCCTTCCGCAGCTGCTTGTCGTTGGGTCTACTTTGGCTGATACTGCTCACATCCATCTCCCGCGGGGGCAGCGCCTCGGCAGGTGGTGGGTCCCGGGCGGCGAGGGGGTCTGCAGCGGGCGTGGGTCCAGGTGCAGGAGGTGAGTGAGCAGCTGCAGGTGGTAATGGTGCAGCTACAGGTGGTGGGTCCCGCGCAGCAGCTCGGTCCTGCACAACCACACTGGGTGTAGTACACGGAGGCACACAGCAGGTCTCACAAAATTACATGCTGACGATATAGTCAAGCCGTGCGCATGGATGCATGGATTGATTATTGCATAAGGTTCCGATACTAGCTAAAATTAGGACTTTGTTGCCGGAAAACGGAATGTATAAATTTGAAACAACACATTAAAATATTGTGTGTGGTAGCCGGACACACCTGCGACAGGACAGGTATCTTAACTAAAATAGTGATAGGGATGGACATATCTTGCAACAAACCCAAGACTGCAACAGCAATTGTTTCCGTAGAATAGCGCACCTAGAGTTTTTCCAGGAGAGCGTATCCGGTTGTCCGAGTGCGATCAAAGAGAAAGTTAACTTGCGAAGTAAAACATTGCAAAACACCGCATCGCCTACCTCAGTGAGCGCGGCCCTCGCCGCCAGCAGGAGGCACAGGGCCTTGCTGAGGGGCTCCTCGGAGTTCCGCAGGGTCCCCGTCAGCTCCCGGCCGCCGCCCCGCAGCGTCACGTCCCAGGACTCGCCCGTCAGCAGGGTTAGGGCGGGCAGGGCCTGCTCCTCCCGGCACTGGTCCTGGAGACCCTTGAGATGTTCGGCGGCCTGCGGCAGCGCGCCCTGCAGCTGGCATCGCAGGGCCCTCTTGACGGGCAGGACGTCGTGGTCCTCCCAGCAGCGGGGCGACGGGGCGGTGCGGCAGTCCGAGCACCAGCAGCGGGGAGTGCTGTGGGGCACAAGAAGTCAGACCATGAGGCTCTCGAACACCCCGCCTCCGCGGCCGGGCCGGCTGCGCGCCTGCGAGCTCACCTGTCTAGCCTGACTTCCTCCAACAACTTCAGCAAAAAGAAGTTAGCGGGCAATCCCTCCGGCGGGTCGTTGAAGTCCTGTGGGGAGAACGGGTCAGAACGATTGTAACAACGAACGAGTGATCCGGGACTTTACTCCACGCCACTCACCCGGCGGCACGTCGGGCACCTGCTGTCGGGCACCTGGCGCAGGCACTGCAGGCAGGCCGTGTGCCCGCACGGCAGGACCTTGGGCAGCCGCTGGTCGCCGTCGAAGCGCTCGGTGCAGATGTCGCACTCCAGGTCCATGCTGCTGATCACGGAGCTGCAGGAGGCAGTCGGCCGGCCGGGGTAGCGCAGCGGTGGGAACCGGGAACGGACCGCTATCTGGTACTTTGGTTCCTGGCCAACATTGTAATCCAACTCTTAACAAGACATTGAACACTTCACCCAGCAGCTGTCCACAAGTTGCGGGGCCCTGTTCACATCCATGCACCGATAGATCGAACTGCTATCGGTGAGCGCGGTGCGAGTGCGAGAGAGAAAGAGATGTGTGGCCTTCAAATGGACGCTATCTCTCCCGCGTCGACCGACTCTTCGCAGACCGATCGCAGGTCGATCGGGTCGATGCGTGAATATGGACAGAGCCGCGTACACTGCGCGACCGAAGCTAAAGCTTTACTCACTTGTTGGTCGGGCGAGGCCTCGGCAGGGCGTCCTCCTAACCTCTCCGTCCTCGTGCGGCTCCCTGGCGTTCCACGGTAAACAGGCTCGCACTACGCCGAACACAACCAGAACCAGGGCGAGATGGGCGACTGCGGACACAGTTGTCGGGGACGGACAGGGGAGACGCAGGCCAGCACCTTTGGCAGACGGTCGTGGG